TATTTATTTATTTATTTATTTGATATAGAGTCTTGCTATGCAGCTCAGATTTATAGTGACCCTCCTGTCTCAGCCTCCTTAATGCTGGGATTACAGGTGTGTGCCACAACGCCAAGTTTTCGGAGCCAGCACAGGGCGCCTGGGATTCTGGAGCCAGCATGACATGCGGTACTCGGGATCAAACTCGGGTCCTTGCATTTGCCAGGCAGGCAGTTAGACTGCCGAGCTATCTCCCCAGCCCCAGATTAACATTATTAAAGGGATAATAGAATGAGTGTGGTGGTGAGAAGCCCTCGAGGCTGAGGCAGGAGGACCACTGTGGCCTCTCTGGTGGCTGTCCCTAGAGAAGCCTCAGTTGTTCTTAGACACCCCTGCTTCAGCGCTTCAAATACTTAGAACCTGACTATTCGTTCACACGCACATCCCCTCTGCTTGGTACTAGAATATGGTGGCGAAGGCAGGGTCTGTGTCCGGGGCACCTAACACTGGGGCCCCCCAGAACAGCATGCAGGATGGACCTCTGTGTCACCATCTGTAAGCTGAGGCAGGACAATTTCTCCCGGGCAGATGAGAACGTGAACCAAAGTGACAGCAGGAGCCGGGAAAATGCAAGTACAGGTGCGGTGTGCTCAAGGTGCTCATGGGACACAGGGTCCCCTACCTTCAGGCCTCTGGAACTCCTCCTCGGAGAAGCCGACGTCCTTGTGGGAGAGGTTGGTCATCAGCTGCTTATTCTCCTCCTGCAGCTGTGCGATCTGTGACAGGAGGTCCTGCGCCTCTCCTCGCCACACGTCCTCCACCAGCTCCAGTTCCTGCAGGGCAGACGCAGTCACAGCCTGCCCAGGCAGTGGCCTCCCCCGCCCCCTGCCAGAGGAACAGCTGGGCCCTCCACAGGGTGCCACCTCCATCCACACCAAGAGGGTCTCCCGCACTTGGGAGCTGTGAGGTGAGTGCATGGTCCCAACTCCCAACACCTCGTGGGGTTCCAAATCCTGATCTCTCAACAGACACTGGACAAACCACTCTCCAAGGGACACAGAGGCTGTGGACAGGTCAGGATGCCCAGTGACAATGCCACTGTCCCCAGATACTTTGGTCTGACACGAGCATCTCTCCAGGGGGCCTCCGGCAAGTCACCGAAATGCTCAGGGGCTGAGTTGGGGACCACACTTTCAGGCTCACAGGGTGGATGTGGGGGCAGGGGAGATCAGGCCAGAGCCAGGAGCGGTGGCCCAGGCTCACCTGGGACTCTCCAAGATCCTCCTGCCCCAGCCTCCGAGTGCTGGGATCACAGGCATGCACTACCACCAAGCTAAAGAAAGTGTATTTGTAAGAGAGAAAATGTTCAGGAGGCAGCACCAGGCTGCATGCACACACATAGGCCTGAAGGCATGGACTCCAGTGTGTCAAGCTGGGTCATAATCCTGTCTCCCTTTCTGCAGCTCACTAGCTGGTGTGAGGAATCATTCCACTTTTGGAAGCCCTGGAAAGTGGAGGGCCAGGCAGGGTGCTCCCCTGGGGACGGCCGGGGGCGTTACTTGGTGGCTCCACATAAAGTGCTGGCCACACGCCTGGCACCCAGAAGAGGTGAGGAGACATCTGCTGGGCTCTGCTCCTCCACCTGTCCCAGGCCAGGAGGCTGCCTGGGAGGCTGGGCTCAGCATCACCTGCTCCTCCACGCATCCACTAAGTAAGTCCCCAGCCTGCTTCCCCGGCCAGGAAGCCTGTAGCACTGGCAACCTGAGGAGAATTAGCTAAGCGCCCATGAGCAGGCTCAAGGGCACCAGAGGAGGGGAAGAGAAGAGCAGAGTCAGAAGCCGTGAGATGATTCCAGCTGCGGTGGCCCGTGCCTGTGGCCCCAGCACTCGGGAGGCTAAGGCAGGAGGATCGCCAAGGGCTCTTCGAGGCCAGCTTGGCCTGCATGGTGAGTTCGAGGCCAGTTTGGACTACACAGCAAGACCCTGTCTCAAAGCCCCCAGAAAAGAAGTGAAGGAATGAGCTGATGGACAGGAGACCAGGCTCTCCCAGTGTGTCCTCTCCATACCCAGCAGGCACAGGCAGCTCCTTGAATGTCAGTGCAGTGGTCCTGGGACCTGACTGTGGTGACCTGAAGGGACATGGGGGCTGGAAAAAGGGCTTCCTAGTCTGGTGTGGTGGAACATGCCTGTGATCTCTGCGACTGGGAGGTTGAGGCAGAAGGAGCGCCACGAGTTCAAGGCCAGCTTGGGCCACACAGCAAGAGCCTGTCTCAAAAAACAAACATGAAAGAAAAAGAGGAAAAAAGAGCAAGAGAAAAAGGGGTCTTTCTCTACAGTGCTCCAAAGGGCCAGAGTTCAGCGTGGCCTTGAACTCACTGTGTAGCTCAGACAGGCCTCAAACTCATGATGAGTCCCTCAAACTTATCCCTGGGTGATGGAACCCAGGGCCTAGCACGCATTCGGCACACACGCTCCTGCTGAGCTACAGCCCCAGCCCTGACACCTTGATGGTAACCCAGGAAAACTCGTTTCTGACGTGTGACCTGCAGGCTTTATCCACACACACCCACTACAGCCTTACCCCATGTCGACCTCCCAGAGCCCGCGCTGCTCACGGGCCAGGGACAACATCTGCTGTTCAGAGCCACTGCCCCAGCACTACTGTGCCACAGCAGCTAGCACTGAGTACCAACTTGAATACGCAGGAGTGGGGCTTTTTCCCATGTGATTCTAGGGATGAAACCGCTGAGCTGCATCCCCCAGCCTATCCTATTTTTGAGACAAGGTCTCCAGAAATTGCCCAGGGCAATTCTCCTGCCTCAGCCTCCTGTGTAGCTGTAATTACAGGTCTGCATCACCTCGCCTAGCTCGGTTCTTTTTTCCTGTGCTCTCTATGTGCTAATGTCTATGTTAGCAGAGCTGACCATAGAGAATTTAATCCTGCCTCGAGACTGAGAAGGTAGCGCTGATTCATCAACCCTGCCTTCTCTCCAATTCTTCCTCCAGCCCACAAGGCTGAGCACGTCCAGCCTCACCCTGCCTCACTCCTCTTTTCTGCACTGCCCCAAACCCGCTCACCTGCCAAGGGCGACCTGCCCCAGGACCCCTGCATGGGCTGCCACCTGCCTGCACCCTCTCCCCACATCTCTCTGTGGCTGGCACCTCTGCTTCACACAGAGGCTGCCTCCTCAGGGAAGCCTTCCTGCCTGTCTTATCTATTAGAGCTGCAGGCCAGCAGGGCTCTTTCACATATTCCTGCCTTATTTCATTTGTGGCACTCAATTATAAACTGACGTTTAAAAATCTACCTTCTGCAGGCATGGTGGCTGTGAGTTCAAGGCCTTCACTACATAGGATGACCCTGCCTCAAAAAAAAAAAAAAAAAAAAAAGGTACCTCCTGAACTGGGCAGGGAGCTCAGTGGTGAGCGCTGACCTAGCAGGTCCAAGGCCTGGGTCCCATCTACACGCAGCTGACACCTGACCTCCTCCCCAGCGTCCCACAGAACAGCCTTCAGCCACATGGAGCTGGGGTCTAGAAAAGTGACTGCTCTCCAGTGGAGCCAGGTGTGGTGGTGCACACCTGTAATCCCAGCACTGGAAGGCTCAGGCGGGGGATTCCTGTAAGTTCAAGACCACCAGCCTGAGCTACTTGGTGAGTTCCTGTCTCTAAAAAACAAGGAAAGGGGGCTGGTGGGATGGCTCAGTGGTCTAAAGCACCTACTTAGAACAAGCTTAGCAAAACACAGAGACCGCGGTTCAATCCCCCAGCACCACATGCCAGCCAGCCCCGCCCCCTGGTGGGCTGAGCTGGCCACACACACACACACACACACACACACACACACACCAATAAATAAATAAAAAAAATAAAAATAAAAATAAAAATAAAAAACAAGGAAGGAAAAGTGGCTGGTATGGATTAATCACAGAGTGGGGGTTAAACACAAACCAGATTTCAGAGGTATAGTGGGGAAAAAAGAACGCCCAATATCTCGCTGGGGTGAAAATATCTTCATCTACAGGGTTCTACAAAAGGGACTAAAGTTAACCTCCCTGGTGCTTCTTATGAGCTCAGTGAGCCACACTCTACTTCTATGGAATGACACCATCTCTTCAGAGCCCAGGACAGTGCCAGGCACATAACAGATATGCAAGAAACACATTTGTTGGACGACTCTATGAACACCACAGGCTGGTTACGGTACATGAAACTGCAGATGTACAGTCACTCCGGAGGGGTCTGGGCTTTCCTGCAGCGAGCAGCCATACTTACTGGGAGAGGGGACACCAGGAAAGAGGCCTGGTGGTGAGGGAGGATCCCACCCGGCCTGAGCTCCTCCCTTCTGTTTACAAATAGAAACAGAAGCCTGGGAGCAAGGAGGAGGTGTCCACTTCCAGAGCAACAAGTGCCCAATAAGTGCCTCTGCTGATTCCACCCTCCTGCAGGCCCATGACCAGAACAGAGGTGCCACCACAAATTCTGTTTGACAGGCGAAGGCCCTGGCCCCTTTACCCCTTGGGGAGCGTCTCCAGGCCCACATTAGCTTAAGCTGCAGGGACCTTGGTGGAATAGTGCTGTCCAGGCTTTGAGTGTCTTAGCCTTCTTGGCTCTGCATAGCCCCGCAAGGCAGGGACCAAGGTCATCTCACTTGATGGCTGAGGAAACTTAGGCACAGCATAGCTGCGGAATTTGCCTCCAGCCTGTGGCAGTGGGCTCTGAAAGCAGGCTGTCTAGCTGCAAAGTCCCTGCTCCTGGGAGTCCTGAAATTCACTGGGGACAGGCATTTCCAGGCTTCTTGTGTCACCTTGGCCATGCTCCCCAATGGCACCTAAAGTTTCCTCTTCATCCCAGGGCCTAGGGACAGCACACAGTGAAACACCAGCTCTTAACCACCACCAACCAGGCTGCCCAGGGCTCGGGAGGTGGCACAGTGCCTGCCAGGCAACCATGTAGTCCTAAATTCCAGTCAGTACCAAAAAAAGAGAAAAAGAATAAAAACAACCTGGATGCCCTCAGGTCAAAATTGCCCGACAAAGGGCCTGCGAAATAGCTTAGGGAACTAAGTGCCTGCTTAGGCAAGCACAGGGAACAGGGTTTGATACCAGCACCACAGGCCACACCGACCCTGCCCCAGGGCAGGCTGAGCAGGCTATGGCGCCCGGAAGACCAGGCAAGGCGGTACACACCTGTAATCCCAGTGCTGGAGAGGCTGAAAACAGGAGAATCACTACGAGTCTGAGCTGCATAGCGAGACCCTGTACCAAATATATAAAAATAAATAAACAAATAAGATTGCTGAGCAAGAGTTGGCCATTTTTCTTGAGAACACATGGTTCCATCGGAGAGGACAACGTATAATGGTAGCCAGAGAGGTTCAGAGAGGCCAAGAGTATTTCCTGAGGTCACACAGCAGGCCCAGGCCTGCTCCAGCACCCTAGTCCTCCAGGGAAAGGCATTTCCTCCTATCCTGGCTGGGAAGGGCTGAGGTTAGGGCAGGAAACCACACTTCCTTCTCTGGGTACCCTGTCAGACTCCCAACCCACCCACAGGAGAGGCACTGATTCAGAGGCGTCTGCTCCTGGGCCAGCCTGAAAACTACAGGATCAAGCGGGTGGGGAACAGCTCCTCACTGACTTGGGACAAATCCCTCCCCACACAGACTGAGGTTTCCTCTTCTGTCAGAGGAAGCTAACTGTCCCTCTCTGAGTTCTGGGCAGATTAAGGCTAATTCCCAGGCCAGGCCAGGGAAGCCACCCTGGGTAGAGGTTAGACTAGGCACCTCAGGAGGGTGGCAAAGATGAACCAGGGCATTCAGACACTGGGGCAGGATCTAGACAGCAGCCTGGGGTAGGTGCTCCTACCCCGGGAATCTCGGGGGTCTGCTTATTTCATTTCTAGACTTGAAAAATACTGTCTAAGCACTTTTCACGCATCATCTCATCTAATTCCTAGAAGGTGGATCGCGGGTGATCCCTCTGATGGGCTTGGATGCCAAGCAGACTGGTTAAACAACGCGGCCCAGGCCGCACAGCTATTAAAGGGGCACGGGAACTCAGGTCTGAAGTGCCCGTGCCCGGGGTCCCCGCGTGCGCGCCCACCTTCTGGTGTTTGCGCTCCTTCTCGATGCGGTCCATCCGCTCCACGCGCAGCCGGTCCAGCTCCAGGCGCAGCTCGTCCAGCTCCGGCGCGACGTGGTGGCGGCTGACTAGCACCTCCAGGATCTCCAGGACGCGCACGACCTTGGGCATGAGGCGCGCGATGGCCTCGCAGCCGTGCTGGTCGATGACCCTCTCAAACTCGTGGCCCACGAGCGACGCGATGTCGTACACGTCCATGACGGTCAGCTCGGCCACGTTCTTCTCCAGCACGGACTGGGCCGCGGGCGCCGACCCCCGCTCCTCCTCCATGGCCGTCCCGGCGGCTCCGCTAGGCTCGGCGGCTCCGGGCTGGGGGCGCGCGGCAGGCGGGCCCGGGAGGATCCCGGCGGG